CTTTTTAAGATTACATTTTCTGAATGTACAGAAAAATATATTTTTATCTTGCAAGAGAGTCCTTGTGACTGCACTGAATATCTAAAACAATATTATCAGCTTTCCCAACTATCTTCTGTGAACAAAAAAATGGCAATGGATATGAAGAGAGGGGAAGGTGTTTGTAATCCACCAGGAGAGTAGCCTAGGATGTCACCGTTACTCTGCCATAGACACAGTGAAGTGAGTGATTGTTGACAAGAGGTGTTGCAATAGCAAGATCACCATAAAGAGAAAAAAAACCACATGCAGTTACCATATATAAGAACCCATAAGCTGCAATATATTAAATTTTTGTGGAGTTAGATATGCTATAAGGTTAACTAAAGGTTCTTGTGTTCTGCACATAAAGGAAGAAAATGTACAAAAAATACTATTATAGAGTATTCAAGAATACATTTCGTAAACATTGTTTACTAACTTAGCTTATCAAGTGCCACTGTGGGATTGCTATGGGATATTAGCCATCATACCAGCCCCCTGAACCTTTTGGGAAATGATGTGTTCACCTACAACCCCTACGTCTTACTGACAGACAACCAGCTAACTAAAAGCAAAGCTCTGTATTGAGCTAAACTACTCCAGGTATCACAACAGAGGCAACTAGAGGAGACCAATAAAGTGATTATGTTATGTGTTAGGTTCTGTAAAAATGTTCCTTTTGGAGGCAATATCCGTGTCTTCATTGTTATTCTTGTAGAATGAATATTTACTTTTTGGAAATGGCAACTACCAAATAATTTATTCACTGGGTTCATCATAAAGGATATCACTCAATATGAAAACATAAATGGGACTATGGAGACACCACAGACATCATGTACCAGACCCTATGACAGATCAGAATTGTAGAAAAAAAACAAAAACAAATCTAGGTTCTATTAACTTGACCCCTCTTAAAGTAGCCCTGTAAACACTAACATATATTATGAATAGGGATGAGGTTCGAGATTGCCACTACCATGGGTTTTAAGAACCTAAATTTATGTGTAGATTTTAGATCATAATATCACATTTACCACACCCGCTATCGCCATAGATATTATTAAAGTTACATGTTAACCAGTTAGGCCTAGTGGCAGTTAACAGTTAAACTGCTGTATCCCCCTGCAGTATCCTAATTCTTGTAATACAACCCCAGCCTGTGCTCTTTGTCTCTAGTAAATGTGGGCCTAGCTTTGCTCATTAAAACTGTTCTGCTGCTGGACAATTTTACAGTACTGTATCCTTTGGGGTCTCTTAATTCTTGCAGTAAAACACCTGCCTGTACTTTTTGTGTCTAGTACATTATATTATATTGTCCCTAATTAAACCTGTCCTGCTACTCACCAGTTTCACACTGCTCTATCCTCTGCAGTATCGTAAATTAGAACTATAGCCAAACTGTCAAATTATATATTCAGTACAGCTCTGGCTTTACTTAAACATAGCAGTATTGCTTTTACTGGCAGCTAAAGGGGTAAAAATGCAACTTCCTGATGCAGTTTCCCCTCTATACAAATGGCTGCATTGCCACCCTTTGCATCACTGCGTTCCAGCCCAAGTCTATTGCAGGGCACTCGCAGTGGGTGTAGCTAGTACTATTGATGGTGTGCCCTACCTTATCAGTTGATGGCCACATCTATGCCCTGCCCACCCGTTGTATTTGACTGCTGCATAGATCTGCAAGCAAGGATAAACAGGCATGCCCACAAATATGCCCATCGAGTGGCTGTGAAAAAACAAAGATGCAGTTTGCTTTTTGGGATGCATGACATGCTTTCTCTGCATAGCTTGTCCTGTGATCAATGTCAGGATTCAACAGCAGAGGCTACTACTGCGTCTATCTCTATAATCTACAGAAGTAACAAGCATTTTATGTTGAAGAAAATGATTTAAGTATGGATCATTCATTGGGGCTACCTGTCAAGTATTATTAAAAAAACACATTCTGGCTTTCTTTGCACTTTATTTATTGTAGTAAAGCTTCAGCCTCTGCTATTTACCACTTATGCAATTCGTCCAATTATCCCTAATTAAAAATGTCCTTGCCAATTTTACACTGCTGTATCATCTACTTGCCCCTCCCTGTTAGATTGTAAGCCCTCACGGGCAGGGCCCTCCTTACCATCTTGACTAGAATTGTATTGTGATTGTAATGTCTTCCTTATATTGTAAAGCGATGCACAAACGGTTGGCGCTTTTGCTTTTTGGGATGCATGACATGCTTTCTCTGCATAGCTTGTCCTGTGATCAATGTCAGGATTCAACAGCAGAGGCTACTACTGCGTCTATCTCTATAATCTACAGAAGTAACAAGCATTTTATGTTGAAGAAAATGATTTAAGTATGGATCATTCATTGGGGCTACCTGTCAAGTATTATTAAAAAAACACATTCTGGCTTTCTTTGCACTTTATTTATTGTAGTAAAGCTTCAGCCTCTGCTATTTACCACTTATGCAATTCGTCCAATTATCCCTAATTAAAAATGTCCTTGCCAATTTTACACTGCTGTATCATCTACTTGCCCCTCCCTGTTAGATTGTAAGCCCTCACGGGCAGGGCCCTCCTTACCATCTTGACTAGAATTGTATTGTGATTGTAATGTCTTCCTTATATTGTAAAGCGATGCACAAACGGTTGGCGCTATATAAATCCTGTATAATAATAATAATAATAATAATCTGGGATGTCTTCATTCTTAAGTGTTTGATTGGCAAATTGGCAAGTGGCATGGAAGTTTTGCATCAGCAAGAACAGGGACAGCCTCAGCAAACAACTGGCTATTTCAATCTGCCAGATAAAAAAGGACTATTACCATCTGAGGAGATAGCTGCTAAAAATACCTGAAAAAAGCCTTTTTATCAAACTGAAATAATCAGATTCAGGTGTTGCTGCTGCATGTAAGCTGAGCTAACTGTAAAAAAAAAATAATAATAATTCCACAGGCCAATATGTGCTACCAGTGTGCACAGTGCCTGAGAGTGTCTGTGAATATCGTACTGTTCCATAACACCATGTTAAGGCATCCCCCAAGCATGTTATCTCCAAGATTTGTGTGTTTTCAATGTTGCCCTTGAAGCCAAACAAAAAGACCCTCTTCCCCACTGTATTTTATTTTGCATTGGTACATGTCCCCCATGGCCGTGTACATTTCCCTGTTCCTTTTTTGACAATAGTTGAAAACAAATGTTGATTAGACCCCACTAACCATAAGAAAATGGAACAAATGAAAAGTTTCTAAATTAATTCTACTGGTGTATAGGCAACTTAAGTTACTCACACTCCTGATCCACCCATCCTGAGTCTTGGTACGCTGCTGATTATAAAGACAAAATAGTAGTAGTGTGTTTTAAATAAATACATAACTGAATTCAATATTTCTAAATTTGCCTGGAGTTCAGGTTCAAAGCAAACTTGAGCACACATATTCACTCTGAACTCCCTCTGCTACATCCAACCTATAAATAAAACTAGAAGCCTTCAATACACACCTGCTAGCCACATATAGCCTATGTTTTTCAAACAAAAATTTTATACATGGCAAAGGATATCCACAGCACTATGGGAGGAATTTATCAAAACTGGAGTCGATAGAATCTGGAACAGTTGTCCATAGCAACAGATCAGCTGCTATCTTTCATTTTTAAAAGTTAACTGAACTAAAAAGAGAAGCTGATTGTTTACTATGGTCAACTGCTCCAGATGCTGTCTGCTTCAGTTTTGATAAATTCCCCCATGCCCACAAGAGCACAGCAGTAGTCTTCCATAAGGCATGATCTCTCATACTGAGACCTCAGATGCAGGCCTTCAAGAAAGGATTTTACAAAGGAGAAAGAGGAAAACGTGTGAAAAGGAGAGCAAGGCTCCGACTGCTGGCTCAATGGGAAAATACTATATTTTTTAGTACTAGACGTAACAAAAGGAATCCAATACATACAAAAGCACTATACATTCCCTTTAGGGCATAAACTTAATGCATGATATTTTATTTGTTCAATCAACATATGCAACTTAATATTTTAATATGCAAAATACATATTAAAACAGTGTCCTCTAGTTGTATATAGAGATATCACATTAAAACTATTATAATAAATTATTTCTCAACATAATTATCTGACAGTAATCTAAATTACATGTCACAAACTGTAACCATTTTTTATTTGGTCAGAAGCAATAATAATCTCACAGTAAGAAGTTGTGGTTTAGGGCAACCCAACTGCTAGACACAGCCCAGCCTGGTTGGAATGAAATTGAGCTGGATGGCAGGGTGCACAGGAAACAGAGATAATTAATGGCATACTAATCAAGTGGCAAAGACATGGTTTTATATATAGTCCTTCTAATTAGAGACATTGCAACTTTCTCCTTGAACTACTCACCCAGACAGAATATTTTACAATGCACAAAGATCTGCACACACAACTCTGGAACAGAAGGTTTAAAGCAGGATGGTTGTTTTTGTCTTATCTGTTTACCTGATTTTAAATCTGTTAGGTTTCCAGAAAACACTATTTATTATTAATGTGCAATTTTGATTGATTTAATTTCCTCAATAAGATGCTAAAAGCAATCATATGCATTCACCCGCATTATGAAGCCAGACCATTGCCAGGGAATTTATGACTGACCACGAAGGGTTATAGCACTTTTGCTCTTTGCCTAGCTGGTTGGCTAGGAGGCTTTTGCATAAATCAAAACACAGAAGTTATTATGTCTCAGAGGAACAATTCAGTGGGTATGTGAAAAGCATTTAGTTTGAGTTATGATCAATCAG